TCCTCCACAACTAGAAGAACAAAAGGACAGTAACTTGTCTGTTCCCCTTCCCCGATTCCCAAACGTTGTTCCCCTCCCCCTAATTCCCCAATAAAATCTTTAAAAAAATAAAATAAAATAAAATACCATCATGGCTAAACCAAGAGAAGAGAAGGATCACCAGGTTGAAATGGGATGGATCAATGAGTTATATAAAAAAAAGACAATGACACATCTGCTAGACTCAGGAATGAGCCACTGAGGGTGACTGGTGAATTTTTCCTTGCTATTTAAAAATAAGATATTCATTAGATCAGTACATTTTAAGTATTATTCTATTTGAAGGCAAAAGGAATGGGCTAAAAGGGTAAGCAGAGTTCCTTTCAACTCACAAAGTACATGTGTACTATATGCATAGGCTACAGGATAAATGTAAATTATCTCCAGTAAGCATTCATTGCTCTCCAGTAATCTGACGTTTCCCACCCAACACAAACCTTCTGCCCAAACCATATCATCACTCAACTATCTCCATGACCTGCTATTCCCATTACCACTTTCACACAACTGTTCACACCAATCCCACCAACTACAATGCCCTCCCCCTCCTTTCAGGCCATCCCAATGCTCTACAGTCTGAGGGCTAATGGCTTTGTTTCCACATCTACCACAAAACCTTTTCTCATCTGCTCCTAGCACACGCTGAGATTCTATAGCATGAGCCCATCCACATCAGTGTTTCTCAAACTCAGTATTCTCATAAACTCTGAGAATATGAATCCAGTTTGAGAAAGTTCAATTTCAAAGACTCAGTATATAAAAAGATATTTTAAAAAGCCAATTGTATTGGGTGACAGTTGGCAGTTTCTTAGATAATTAAACACTTGGGTATTTACCCAAAAAAGTTTAAAATTTATGTCTACCTGCACATGGATGTTTATAGCAGCTATTCATCATTGCCAAAACTTGGACGTAACCAAGATGTCCTTCAGTAGGTGAATGAATTAACGTGGTACAACCAGACAATGGAATATTATTCAGCACTAAAAAGAAAGGAGCTATCAAACCATGAAAAGACATGGAGGAACCTTAAATACATTTTACTAAGTAAGAGAAGTTAATCTGAAAAGGCTACATAGTATGATTCTAACTATATGACATTCTGAAAAAGGCAAAACTATGGAGATGAGGAAAGACGGCAGAGAAGGAAGTACACTGCATCTGTCTCCCATCTAGGCAACAACTGCACTGGTCTGTCTGATATAATTATTCTGGAATTCTGGAGCCTATTGAAGGCTTGCAGGGAAAGGCTTAGAAAGTAAATTGGTGTTAATTTACTTTGGTCAATTTCAGCTCTTAGCACAGTGGCAGCTACCCATGCCCTACCCCTCATACAAGAGAATGAAGTTGGACCCTTACCTAACACCATCTACAAAAATTACAGTGGATCAAAGACCTTAATGCATGACCTAAAACTATAAAACTCTTATAAGAAAACAGAGGAAATGCTTCATGACATTGGATTTGGCAATATCTTGGATGTGATACCAAATGCAAAATAACAACAACTAAAAATGGACTTCATTAAAAATTTAAAAATTTTATGCGTCTGAAAAGAATATCCACAGAGCAAAATGGTATTTTCTATTTCCAGAGTATATAAACCAGAAGATAAGTTATGGAGGTTTACAAAAAAAGGAAAATTTTTTTTATTGAGAAATCAAAAAAGTTTCACTGAAAAGGATGGACTTTGAGTTGGGTCATAAAAGATAGGATTTTGATTAAAGCATTCTAAGCAGAAAGGACACTATTAGTTCAGGGGCAGAGGAAGGAGAAAGGAAGAGCTATTTGAGGAGGAGGGAATGGTTTGGTTTGATTCAAACCCTGGACATTGAGGTTGAGAAATACAAGATAAGGTTTCAGGTTAGGCTGAAGAGATAAACTGCAGGCAGAGTTTAGGGGAGCCTTGTATGTCAGATTAAGGAGTCTTAATTTAGTAGGTACGTGGGAGCCATGGAAGTTTTTGATCAGGCAAATTATCACAGCTGAGTTTTAAGAGAACTAATCTGACAGGAAAATACAAAATAAACTAAAGGAAGAAGAAACTGGGAGGCAGCATGGTGTAATGGTTAAGGGGACTTGGATGACAGATGGACCAGAGATTGCATCCCAGCTCTGCCACTTACTGTATAACTAGAGCAAGTTATTTCATCTCTTTGGGTCTCAGTTTCCTCACCTGTAAAACAAGGATAATTATAACCACCTTCAAGGTTGCTGGGAGGGTTAAATGAGATAATGCACAGGGCCTGGCCCAGAGTTTACACTCAGGAAATGATAGCTATTAAGCACGCCTGTTAAGAGACTATTAGGAAAGGGAAAGGAAGGCTTGTCGATTGTGGTTCCTACTATAGAGTATGAACATTCAGCTGGACTTTAGGGGAGAAGAAACATCAACCACTAAGGTTCTGAGCCTGAGTAATGGGAAAGTGGAGGTAACGCTGATGAAACCTTAGGAGCTGTTTAGGGCTGGAGGAAAGTGATTTGTTTGGTTTTTTAACGTGTTTAGCTTGAGGGGCTAGAGAGTTATCCAGTGGTGATTCCAAGTGTATATTACTAGTTGGTCAACAGAAATGGGGGACTGGTGCAGAAGGGGACTGGTACAGGTTGTCAAAGCTAGACTAACATATTTAAGAGTCATCTACAGGAGGAAATAAAGCAAGCTGTAGCAATAGATAAGATCAATAAAGGCAAAGAGTAGAGAAAGAAGAGAGTCTGAAGACATAGCCAGGGATGCTTATTTTAGGGGTATGGGGAAAGAGAGAGGAACCTTTGAAAGAAAGAAAGATTATGTGGTTAGGAGAGTAAGATGAGGATCCAAGACAGTGGAGTTTCCCTGCCTATTCTAAAGGATTGGTGAGAAAGGAGTTTTGAACAATTGAACTAGTGACTGTTCTCCAGAAAGTTTTCTCCTAGCCTGTGGCAGTACCATTAACACGGCATAACCACTTTAGTCATATTGAATTACCAACAGTACTTACAGGCCAACACTCCCCAGGGATCGAGCACAAACAATTTTCAGTGGAAAGCAAAGCTCTTTAATGTTTCAAAATTGCAAAATTAATTTTATATTAAAAAAAAAATCCAGGCAACAGCTGGAGCTTCTAAGAACCTTTAGAAATAAGCCCTGTGTCAAGTAAAGCAGTTGATTTTCAGTAGAGATTGTGTACTTTAAAACATTTTAATTCATGGAGTGAATTTTTGTATGTGCTAATGATGTAATATGACATAAATGAAGTTTAATTCAGCTCCTACTAAAAGGCAAATTATGCTTCAATGTATCTTTGTCTTTCTGGGAATGAATATATAAATGCTTGTACCCCGAAAAATGACAGGGAAGCTATATACCAAATTAACTGGGATTCTCTTTAGGGAATAGGCTTATAAGTGATTATATTGTTATTCTTCATGCTTTTCAACATTTTCCAAAATTATTACAATAAAATTTCATCAATTTTGAAACACAAAAAATGCTATTTAAAATGAAATAAGGGCCAGCCGAGTGGCGCGTTGGTTAAGAGCTGGCTTGGGATGCCAGCTCTGAGCAGCAGGGCCTTGGTTCGGATCCCACATGGGGGCCAGTGACACTGCCCTCTACAGCTAAGATGGTGAACAACAGCTCGACCTGGAGCTGGGCTGCCGTGAGTCGCCCGCAACGGCGTAGGCTGCAGCCCCTGCTGCAGTGGGCTACCATAAGCTACCGTGTGTGTGTATGGCTGGCAGCTGGTGTGAGCTGCCAAGAGCCGCCGTGAGCGGCTGTCCAGAGGCCGGTGACTGATCTGCCTCACCCGGGAAAAGTGCAATGATAATACCAACCTGGGCCAGTGAAGCAAAGTCCTCCACAACTAGACTGAAGAACAAAAACGACAGCAACTTGTCTGTTCCCCTTCCTCCAATTCCCCAGCGCTGTTCCCCTTCCCCAAATTCCCAATAAAATCTTTAAATAAATAAAATGAAATAAAGCAATGCATGGTCCATGACCTACATACATTGAGACTTCCAAGAAAGGAAAGTAGAAACCATACCTCACTATGGTTTATTTTACCATGAAATACTATGAAAATGACTTGTCAATAAATGATCAATATATTTAAGAGTCATCTACGGGAGGAAATAAAGTAAACAGTGGAAATAGATGAGATCAATAAGGGCCAAGAGTAGAGAAAGAAGAGAGTCATGGAAAGATAAGAAGGCAGGAAAATAAAATACTGTATATTAGACACTGAAAACCCTTAATGTCTAAACTACACAGTCCACCTATTAAAGTTATTGCTGGGATTTTAAAGATTGATTTTTAGAGCTTGTATATAATTCAATAGATTCTTGAAAGTGACAGAAGCCTCCACTCAGAAGAAAGTTTTCTCAAGTAAAAGGTCATCTGATGAGTGCCAGGTTAATCCACAAGGGTCCACTGCATGCAATTTCTCTACTAGAAAGCTTTCTCCTAGCCTGTGGCACAACCATTAATGTGGCATAACCACTTTACTCATACTAGATTACCAACAATGCTTACAGGCAGCACTGTCCAGGAATACAGCATAAACACAGGAGATTCTGCAGCTGCCAAGGTTCAAAGCAGAGAAGCCCAGAAAGACAAGTATGTGGGCTGCATTGATGCAGATGAGTCATGAGTCTCGGGCTGATGAATAAATCACCTTAGCAATGCTAAGGGGTTTGTGGAGACTGGCAATGCCATTTTCAGGATGTACTAATGATGTAAAATGATACAAATGAAATTGAACTCTGAGTACAGTTTGTGCTTCGATGGGTTCTGGCTTAGGCCTGTTCAATAAATAGGGCGCTGCTGGCAGTGAGAGAAAGGAGGAAAATCAGAGCTGGTAAGTCTTGTGTTTGCTTCAAATCTATGTTATTTCTCAAACTATTCTGTCTTCATTCGACCCCAGATTGGCCGTGAAAGCTGAAACAAAGTTTTCATCATTTGAGATTAGAGAGAGAAAACTTACCAGTTTCAATCCTGTTATCAACATCAGCACTGACTTTTGATGCAGAGCTCTCATCTGTCACACAGGTTTTCATTGTCTTCTCCCTAGAGCTGCCACATAGAATAATTTATTTAAAACTCAAAAGAAGCCTTCTGAGATCGCCAGTAAATTCTATTTAGGAAACACTAATTCATGGTGATCACATTTTAAAATGCTCTAAAACATTAATTTCACAAATATTTCCATTAAAGCCATTTCTTTTAAATTCATATTTTTACTGAGAATATGAGAGAGAAGGATGCTATCGTTCAGCCTTTAAAGTACGAAAGCCAGAAAATTCGGAACTTAGACACTATGTTTTCTTGATACAAGCTGAGGTCTGAATGATTGAAGGAATAAGATAGTTTCTTTTGAATTAAAAACTCAGGTCACAGAATGGAAGGTTCTGCTACCAAGAAGTATAGTGGAGACAACTATGGCATTAGTTAGAAAACAGACAAGAAAGGCAGGTGTTTGCACGTGACTGATGATCTCTAGTTAGATTGGGAAGTACAGTAAGCACAGACAACCTAGACTATGAGCCAGGCACTTTATACCCACCATTTCATTTAGTCATAAAAGCTCCCCTATTATCTATTATCTCCACTTTATTGGTTGGGGGAACTAGGACTCAGAAAGGCTTAAAAAAACTTCAACCCAAGGTTGGGGGGCTTGTAAGATAATACTGGGCACATGAGTAACATTTAACCTCTGGTTTTGCAATCATGATATGGTAACTAAACAGAAATATAATGGCACTAATTATTTCCCTTACTAGAAAGTTTATTCGGTTATACATTAATTCATCTCTGTATTTCTGGAGTAAACAGAGTACTCTAATACATTTAAAATGGCAATTAGGGGCCGGCTGAGTGGCGCGATGGTTAAGAACTGGCTTGGGACGTCAGAGGGCCCCGGTTCGGATCCCACATATGAGGGCCAGTGACACTGCCCTCCACAGCTAAGATGCTGAACAACAGCTCAACCTGGAGCTGAACTGCCGTGAGTCGCCGGCGACGGCGTAGGCAGTGGGTTGCCATGGGCTACCGTGTGTAGCCAGCAGCCAGCGTGAGCGGCCAGCAGCCGCAGTGAGCGGCCGTCCAGAAGCCGGCGACTGATCTGCCTCGCCCGGGAAGAGCGCAATGATGGTGCCAACTTGGGCCAGTGAAACATCCTCCACAACTAGACTGAAGAACAAAAAGACAGCAACTTGTCTGTTCCCCTTCCCCCAATTCCCCAGCACTGTTCCCATCCCCCCAATTCCCCAATAAAAATCTTAAAAAAAAATGGCAATTAGTTTACTAAATGTATATACAAATGAGTTTTTAGAAACATCCTATTTTGTTCTATTGCAGGGTGAACTTTATATAAATTAACCTCAATAAACCTGACTTTAAAAACAGGGAACTGAAAAGAAAATAGGGAACTAAGGATGCTCTATGAGGCTTAAATTATAAAACATATAAAGGATTCAGAGCAGAGATAGGCAAGGTCACTGGAACAGAGAAGGTTCTCAGGCCAAGAGGCCTTGACTTCATTCATTCATCATTCAACAAATTACTTCTCAGCACCTTATATGTGCCAGGCACTGTTCTAGGCACGAGGGATACTGTATAAATAAGACAAGCAAGGTCTTTGCTCTCATGGAGCTTATGTTCTAGTGGAGGAGAAAGGCAATAAACAAGCAGCAAATAAAAAACTCATTTGGAGAAAGAATATTGAATGTTGTGGAGATATGTTCATGATATCAAATTTAAAAATAGTATGTAGACAAAGCAATTACTATAAAATAAATATATATTTATTAATTTTTACTCATAGATTTACATGTTATATACTATTAATTATTATTATTATTATTATTATTATTATTACATACACACACATACATATACCTAAGACTAAAAGGATATTTACCATAATATAACTAGTGTTTATTTCTGGGCATGGGATTATGAGTTACTATTTTATTCCTCATGGTGTGTGTGTGTGTGTGTGTGTGTGTGTGTGTGTGTGTGTGTGTGTACTTTCCAAATTCTCAACAATAAGCATGCATTACTTTTATCTTCAGGAAAAAAATATTAATAGATATATGTACATGTGTCTATAGGTACATAGATATCTGGAAGGCTGTATACCAAATATTGCTAATATTAATAGTTAACTCTTGGTAGCAGAATATGGGGTGATTTTGACATTTTTCAACTGTACTTTTCTGTATTATTTAATCTGTAATGGACTTCTATTTTTCAAAAATAATAAAGCTACTTTTTTAAAAAGCATGCATTTTGGAATAGTAGATACGGTACCCTATTTTGATAGTGGTTTAGTGTCAAGGAGTAGAAAAATCTACCATTCAGATACTTTAGAGCTTCAACATCTATTTGCTTTTGGTTTTGTAGAGAAATAATTCTCTTGTCATCCATTAACAAATGTATGTCTAATAACCCTGCCCATGGTAGCTAATTTTTCTAATTCAATAGGGAAAGACCATGTACTGATTTATAACTCTACCAAGAAAGGGTTTGTAAGCATTTATGGGGATCATAAGTTATCTCATAGTATATCTATCTATAAGCTTTGAACAACTTTATAGAATTTACAACAATTATATATAAAGCAGACCCAATAGTTCAAGAAAACAGGAATGTTCCCACTGAGGGCCAGATTCTCATCCCAGATAAATCTCAATATGTTGAATAGATATGTTTATTCTTGATCTGAGGATTCTTACACTTGTGGAGATTTCTGCTGGAAAATGAAGAAAGTTAAGCAGGAATTCTCTACTCTCTATGTCCAGAGAGCCAAAGTAAAAAATTTTTTGCAAAGAATCTTCTTACCTTTTTTCCACCTCTAAAAGAAAATTTTCACTGTTGCCCAACTGACTAAAATGCAGCTTGGCAGCTTTTCTCTCACTTTCTCGTACAGCTCTGTCATCTGGAAGCAAAAACCATGATCTGAGCATGTTTCTTTTTTGGAGTAAACAGTAGTGAATCAGAAAACCATATTCACAGAGTAAAAACCAAAGACCAGTCTTATCTTTTGTTAGAGACAAGTCACAAAATAATGCTATTATGTTGTCACTGGACCAAGCAGTAACTCAGGGAGACTAGTCAGATACCATAGCAACAACTGCCACATAGGTGTAACTACCCCTGCAGGAAAGGAGAGAGAGCTCAGGCAGCAAACAATCCAAATGACCCAATCACAAAGCTGAAAGTTACTCCTTTTCTGAAAGACTTCACTTAGTTTCCCTATAATAACTTTCCCAGGGGCATATGAAATCGAATTTTATATCAATAAATGTATAATCAACAATAAAATTATTGTACAGACTAGCTCATTTGAAGGAATATTTATCGTTCCCTGCCAACTGAGCCCCACAGATCTGTTGTACTCATTTTCTATTGCTAATACAGTTGCAAAGTTGATGAACCTGGAAAAATAAATCTTAACTTTCTGTTGGAAACTTTCTGTTGGGGAGGAAGTGGTGGTGAAACCATCAACTGAAGCAAACTAAAGCTGGAAGTAACTGATAAAATCATAGATTGTCATTCAATAAACAATTAAAGGACTCGTCATACATCCTGCCAACAAAAGTTACATAAATATTGACTAATAAACAAATATATCCTGCCAGTGCACAATCTGAGCCAACATCCAAAAGGGTAGGAGGCAGCTGGTTTAAAGTGAGATTCTGGGACAAGGAACAGGGGAGGAGGGTCTCACCCAGTTTCTCCAGAGTTTGTAGCGTGTACACAGCAAAGAGCCTATAATCTGTATCTTTCCGGACAACAGGATTGAGTCTCAAATCTAGTTCTTTGAGGAAGGGTAAAGGCTGTAGGCGGGACACCTCCACTAGTGAAGGAATGTTGTTATAATATAAATTCAGGTCTTGGAGTGAACATAAATACTGGATGCCCTGCAAAGAAAAGACCACATTATGAAACTGCATGCTGAAAAGGACTAGGAATCTCACAAATAAAGGTGGAAATACTATATTACTTTCCATCCTTAAACATGTAACCCAAGTCACCCATGAGAAAGGCAGGGTTGAAACTCCCATTTAGTTGCCTGAGAACAAGACTATTGCAGCCCATGGGCAGTGAAAGTTCCATTCGTTAAATAGAACATTCCTTGATTTACAAGAGGAAGGGAGGCAGGCAAAGAGATGGTTCGGGGGGAGAAGAGCATGGTAAACAGATAAATAAATAAATAAAATAAGTGTGTGTGTGTGTGTGTGTGTGTGTGTGTGTGTGTGTTGTGTCCTTATATCTCAGTGCTTCACTTTTAGGGTCAATGCACTATATGGGAAATAAAACAATGCTCTCTCCAGGTCTTCCATCCTGGACCAGTCTGGAACCCCTCTTGTCCTTGTTTCCCCTTTCAGAGTTACTGCCACCACACCAGCAAGTTCTTCCTTCTTCAGTTCTTTCTCTGTGGATTCAGCAACCCACCCTTTCATTTATATGGCAACAATAGGATCAGGACTAGGAAACTCAAGAGGAAAAGCCACAATCTTCCTCCTATGCTGAAACCTACTACTGAAGATAATTGTAATTTTCATGTATTAATATTTGGCCAGTTAGCTGCTTTTGCCCAACACTGAATTTTAGGACAATACTTCAAAACATGTACATATATATGTATAATCATATACTTTTAGTAGTAAAAATGCTTACTACAAAAGGAACTCTGTCTTTGAGAGTTATTTCAGAAAGGTAAAATTATTTTCTTAATTTCATAAAATGAAGATTTTATGATTAAATTTCATTTTAAGATTAAATTTCATAAAATTATTATGTATTTATAAAATAATGTTTTCATTCTTCTCTCATTTAAGATTGGCATTTTCTTATTAAAGGAAATTTAGAAAACTCAAAGATATACACAAAACCTTTCCAAGTAGACCCTTTTACACTTTGATGCATTTCTTTCTGGCTTTTTCAATTCCATTAACTTTTATATTGTAAAAGGGCCAGGGATTAGAACAGTTATCAGTGCCATTGGCCCCACTCTCAGGGCAGTACACCATTAGGACTGTCTTTTTTTTTTTCTTTTAAGATATTATTGGGGAATTGGGGGAGGGAACAATGTTGGGGAATTGGGGAAGGGGAACAGACAAGTTGCTGTCCTTTTGTTCTTCAGTCTAGTTGTGGAGGAAGTTGCTTCACTGGGCCATGTTGGTATTATCATTGCGCTCTTCCCAGGTGAGGCAGTCGCTCACCAGACATTGGACAGCAGCTCACGGCGGCTCACGTCAGCTGCCAGCCACGCAGTAGATCACGGCAGCCCACTGCAGCCTCACTGCAGCCTACACAGTCGCCGCAGTTGCCACAGTTGCCGCAGTTGCCACAGTTGCCAGCGACTCATGGCTGCCCAGCTCCAGGTGGAGCTGTTGTTCACCATCTTAGCTGTAGAGGGCGCAGCATCACTGGCCCCCATGTGGGATCCAAACCAGGGCCCTGCTGCTCAAAGATGGTGTCCCAAGCCAACTCTTAACCAACGCGCCACTCAGCCGGCCCCCAGGGCTGTCTTTAAAATGTGTCTAATGCCCCAGCTCCAGTAACCTTTTAATGTCTCTTAGTGTAAAAGTAAGGAAATGCCTTCTAACATCCTCTCACTTTTCCCAGTTGGCATGAATTCATATATTCCCCAAAGTTACACTAGAAATAATCACAAAACATTTTCCCCCTGGGAAAACTAAGTAAAATGATTCAGAGTGGCAAGAGATAAATATATGCAGATAAATCATAGATGCAAAAAAATGTAGAAAACTAACATTTACTAAGTGCTTCTATATGTCAAGCACTATACCAGGAGTCTTATATATGTTATGTGTAATTACATATGCTAATTTGATTAATCTTCACAATAATTTTTTTACCCATTTTATAAAGGTGAAAAGAAAGTGTATAAAAACAAATTACAGCAATGTTCACCCAATTTCTTTAGCCTGAAAAAGAACAAACAAATAAAAATATATGAAAAGAGGAGACCTAAGTAACTCTGAACTCATACTTTCTGAATCTGATGGGCCAAATTCAAATGACGGCTACCAAGTAGTCTAAAGCCCTAGGACAGCTTGGAGTTTCTGCTTTTAGAGTCCTAGCTGGAAATTTGATCTTGCTTGGGCTTGTTTTTTTGGGCTTTAGTTTTAGACCTTGAGATTGGGTCTGGCTTGTGTTGTTGAACAAGTATCTTCTAAGAAGTACAAAATTGGCAGAATAATCCAGGAGATCATGAACTAATCCTAGATATGGCATCTGAGAGTCTTTCACCTTCTTCAGTCTCACCAAGAAGTGCTTTATCAAGACAGGCACATACCTGGGAAAAATGGGAACATGTGGAAGAATCCCTATTTTGGGGTCTACCAAAAAGAAAACAAAACTTTCCTCTGTGTGTACATGTTTATGTCTGTAGAGCTCTGTGTATGTGTTTACTAGTCCTCGCACACTCTGTTCTATCCTGCCCCTGTCTACTTTCCTGCACTGTCCTCTGCTCCACCATTTCCTGACCTGGTAACTTTTCTTTGTTTTCAAGACCACCACTTCCTCCTCCTCCTTGAAAACATCCACAGTAACAAACCAGTCTGGTGCTTTCCATGAGTCTTCCATGTACCAACCTCTTCAGAATCCCCTTGGTATGTCCTAAGCCTGCCTCAGACCTTACTAACTCAGAATCTCCCTCAGAGTAGGGGCTAAGACTCTGTACTTTTATTAGTGCTCCTCATTTTTTTGGGCACACATTAAAATCTGTACTATTACCCTAGGTTGTGATAGTTTAATACAGTTTTCCTTGAGCACAAAATAAATTTTTCCCAATATTTTATAATAAAAAATTTCAAACATAGAACAAAGTTGAAAGAATTTTACAATAAATAATAAAATTTAGTTTGGAAACATTTAAAAGGAAGACCCTATATTCCTCAGGCTGACATTATCAATCTCTTATTTCTTTCCATCAAAAAATAAGTAAATTGGGCTGAACTGGCTGGTCATAGAATACAGAACTTACCTTCAGGCTAGTGATCAAATTTCTTGATAAATCTAGGGATCGGAGGTTTTTAAAATTTCTGAAGGCATCACCAATGGAATGGATTTTTCCAGCATAAGATCCCTGCAATGAAAGCGACTCCACCAGTTCTGAAAAGAGATCATCAGTAGGTATATTATTACCTGGGTAAACAGCAGAGTCAGTGAAAATAGGTCTTCCTTCCTCCCGTATCCCATTTGTGAAAGGTCCTACATCCAAGGCTCGTCAGAGTTTCCTTTTAAAAGCAACAATGCAGTCTTTTTTTTTTTTTTAGCTGAGCCATCCTGCCACGTGTTGGCAGCTCAGCGGCAGCTCAGCTTGGGCTGGGACTCGAACCGCTGTTGCTCAGAGCTTGCACTCTTGAGCGAGCTCTTAACCAACTGAGCCACTCAGCCAGCCCAAAAAGCAGCAACACAGTCTAATACAGTCATACCAAAACTTGGTTTTACAGAACCCTTGGGTTTCTCTAATTACCCTGAAGGAAGTAGTAACAGTCTCCAAAAGTTCTCAAAACAAAATTTAAAAAGAAATTCAGAAATCCCACTGCTATGATTTAGCCCTATAGATAATACTACTCACAAAATTTTGCCAGGATATATAATATATACCACAAGGATTCAGTTGGAGAAAAGTTTTAGGATAGT